CAGTGGGGAATCCGGGCCTTGTTATCAGACAGGATAACTATGAAGGGACAAATGAAAAGCAGAGGTTAATAACATTAATAAAGCCATTAAAGTCTTGAATGCCTTGATTCATTTTAATGTTATTAATGTTATATGATTGAGAGAATAAAGTGTAAAACCTCCTTGACATTTAGTGTTTAGTGTAAAGTTAGTGTTTTATAGTAATGTCTATGATATATACTGCGATTTCTTTAAGTTTACATCAATAGGTTAACAAAAAAAGATAACCCCCCCCAAAACTGTCAAATCTGTCAATATATTCTTATTTCATGAAAAAATAATAATACATCTCTCATTGCTTACTGGGATACCAAATACAATTTAATTGTCAAACTGTCATACAAAATCGATTTAATTGATATTTATATCATCTGACATGAATTATTTTGAATAAACTGAGAAACTCAATGTTTGTAAATAGGAAACAAACAAAAAAAAAAAAGAGCCCGCCTGTAGAAAACGAATACATGACATGGGAGTTTATTTGCATCAAAAATCGCATTTGATCTTCCGGCGTGCTTCTTCCTGCCGGCCACCGTAGTGCGTACACCAAACCCACGTGGTTTATCAAAACATCATGGCGGCTGGTTTCAAGTAAGACTGTAGCTATTACACCGAATATAACACTTTGTCCGCTTTGTTCTCAGCTGTGAAATGAATGCACCAGCAGCGGCAGGTTAGAGGAGACAACTGGCTGCTTGTAGGAAAGGAAATGCTCCGTGTGGGAAAGCTTTAACAGCGCAGACCTGTTACAGAGCTGGGTCCTGGTTACAGAGCTGTGGACCTTATTACAGAGCTGGACCTTGTTAACAGAGCTGGGCGCTGGTTACAGAGCCTGGGACCTGTTAAGAGCTGGTCCTGTATACAGAGCGGGGACCTGTTACAGAGCTGGTCCTGTTGGGTCCATATAAACACACTGAGTATAGGTAGCTGACAGTCGACAGACGCTGTGTGTAGTATTTAAGCTGTGTTTAATGGTGTCTTTCTCACTGTCCTGTTGTCATATAGCCGAATAAAGCAGATGTGTCACTACTGATAAAGGCATTTATGAGTTTCAGTCTCTAAACCAATGACTGCTTACCTCTTCCTCCCTTCCTCCCTTCTTTCCCTCCTTACCTCCTTCCCTCCCTGTCAACCTGTACAACCTCCAGGACTGCTGAGCCTCTGGAGTACCACAGAAGCTTTCTGGTTAGTGATGAAAACACAAAACACGCATATTTTGGTTAAATATCATGCTTTTGATTTCCCATTTTATCATTATTCATTATTGTCATGTTTTTCCCAGAGAGAAAACTGTCGACCTGATGGACGGGAGCTGTCAGAATTCAGAACCACAACACTGAACATAGGTGAGACACAGCGCTGACTCTTATCTCCAGTATAAAATGATGTGTTGATGTGTTTTTCTTCAGTCTACATGGGGTCATTTTCTCCGTTCAGGATCCATATCCACAGCAGATGGCTCAGCCCTGGTGAAGGTTGGAAACACCACGGTCATCTGTGGGATCAAAGCGGTAAATGATCATGAGCGCTGCATTTAAAAACCCTTATTTCAGTGAGTCTGGATCAGGTAAACAGATGTGCAGTGATTTCTGGTGTTTTTTCTTGTTCAGGAGCTGACAAACCCCACAGTGGAGGCGCCTGGGAAAGGTTACATTGGTAAGTACAATCGTAGAGTACCTCCTCCCCCTTTGTTATGATTAAGATATCTTAATATAACTTATTCTTATGACATACTGGCACATACACAATGATAAATTAGAATTTTTCTTTTTTTAAATGAGTTGGTTTTAATAACTGGAAATGTATACAGTGCTCTTAAGTATACAAATCTGATAAAGAATGTTTTGATTATTGTATATCATATTTTTTTGATATATAGTGGATGTAAAAATAAGAATTGTCTGGTATTTTCACCTTGTGTGCCTCAACTTGATTATATATTGAAACTACTGTTACTTATATAACTATATTTTATAAAACTAGAACACATATTAGTAAATAGTATTATTTTTTAATTTTTTCTCTTTTCCTTTACCCCCTACGTTTTTACACACATACCTCTACTTTACATTTTCAAAAACAGGCTTGTTACTTTAGTTTTAATGCATTTAAGGGGAATTATTGATTTATTTATTTTTAGTTTAGTAACGTGACTAAAGCGATGTAAAAGGCAAAAAACAAGATAAAACGGACGAGAGAGGAAGACTCAACCCTGTATTTTGAAGTTTCTTTGTTAGTTTTGCACAGAAACAGCCGGTAGAAATGTCATTAAGAGATTTTTATAGCTTGGGTAAATTTCAGAATTGTTTTTTTTTACTTGAGTAAGAAGTTGATTCAGTACTTCTACTTTCACCAAAGTCTTTTTTTACACAAGTATCTGGACTTTTACTCAAGGAAAGAATGTGTGTAATTTTGCTTCCTCTGCATATCTGTTTTTAATTGTGTTGTATATCTTATAAATATCATGCCATTCTAGTTAGTGGAGTTGTGTGTAAGTGGTGTAGCTTTGTATATTCCTATATGATGATAATAAATAAACAAACACTGACTGCAGTCCTCTTTCCATCGTTGTGTAGTGCCCAACGTGGACCTACCTCCTCTGTGTTCGTCTCGGTTTCGGCCGGGCCCTCCGGGAGAACAGGCACAGGCTGCCAGCCAGTTCATCGCTGATGTAATCGAAAGGTGTGACAGACTTTGATACACATCTCTTAGATTTCATATCACAGCAGCATTAGGCGTGTGTTAACCCTCATAATGCCATCCACTGCTTTAACTAAGTACGTTTTTCCATATGGGTGTTGCAGCTCTGAAGTAATACAGACGGAGGACTTGTGCATTGACAGAGGAAAGGTAAATCCAGAATCACGCTCATACGCGGGTCATTTGATTGCTGTAAATGTTGTGGGTCCTGATTCTGCTGATTCTGGTTGTAGCTCTGCTGGGTGCTCTACTGTGACTTGATGTGTCTCGACTACGACGGGAACGTGTTGGATGCTTGTATGATTGCTCTGCTGGCTGCCCTAAAGAACAGTATGTGCTGTATCTGATTGCAGTATTGTTCCATACAGCACACAAATATCCATCCCACTATTTTCAGTGAACTAATTCTTTATGGCCTTGGCCACGTGTTGCCTTTTTATTAGTAAATTAACTTTCAGTTTCCCTGCTCCCCACAGCACAGCTCCCAGAAGTCACCATCAGCACAGAGACTAGTACACCAGAGGTGAATTTAGAAAAGAGACGCGGGCTGCATATTCACAAACATCCAGTCGGTGCCTCTTTTTGTGTCTTTGATGAGTAAGTGATTTTCAGTTTTTCTAGCCATGATAAAAACTGTATTGTGTGTGTCTAAGTGCAACTTTTGTAATCCGGGCCTTCCCTCCGTGCAGCTCAATACTGATCGTGGACCCCACAGCTGAGGAGGAGAGCTTGTCAACCGCTGAACTCACCGTGGTGACGGATGAGGAAGATCGGCTCTGCGCTGTACACAAACCAGGTCAGAAATAAACAGTCTGTAATGATATGTGTAGTTTATACTCTGTGTGAATCCAATTTCCAAACTCATTAGGAACTCCCCATGGTCAAAACACATCTCTGAAGAAGCTGTTCTACCCTCTACAGTTTTTTGTTTAAGAATACAAAAGTTGTATTTCATTTTCTACAATTAGTCCGGTTTATCATTTTGCAGTTAAGTAGTATACTTAAGCTTTTTAACTTGTATTGGTTTTTTAATATTGTCTAAAAAAGCTATTTATATTATTGAAGTGGAATTTATTCTCTACTTTGAATAATAATCAGTATAAATTTGAGTATTTAAGTACTGAAAACCTTTATAGACTAGATTCACATTACTGCCTCTTTCTGTTGCACGTTTTTGGCATTTATGTAGAGATTCATATGAATGTTTTTTTTTTTACTTTAAACACTTCACAATTTAGTTTTTGTTGTTTCACAGTGGAATATAACTGAATGAATTTTAGAATCAGTGTTAAAGTTGGCATGAATCTAGCTTGCATAAAGTGACAAACGGTTACTGAATGGAGCTCCTTCACTATGTGGGCATACAAAAAAATCATATCAGCGATTCTGTGAGTTTGAATGGTGCTTACAGTCTTTTTCTCTGGCTCAGGAGGGACGTCACTGTCTGGAGAAAAGCTGCAGGAGTGTATCAGCAGAGCATCAGCGCGACAGAGAGAGATCCAGAAACTCATCGACAAAGTAATACATAGTGTGAAGACAGCACAATAAAGAGCCTCAGACGCTTTTTTTTTATCTAAAAGCTGTATTTTCCACTGTCAATATATATTCTTTTTTTTAATAACAATAAAACTGCTGACAAAGACTGCTTAAAAAATTACTTCTCAGTGTCCAGAAATGTCTCACACACACACACACACTCGTTGATGTCTCATAAGAATACGCTCATGGCTCCTGAACTCATTAAAAGGAAATGCCTTTTCAAAATGTGCTGTACAAAAGCAGGTACACCGTCTTGCATGTTGATCTTGAGTCCCCCGGTTGAGCCCTGTGCCGAGATGGCTAACAGAAGAAAGACTTCCAACAGACTGAGAGGTAGAGAGCTGCCCCCAGGCACTACTCCAAGATCAGATTTGCATTTTCACATGTAATGGTTATGTGGAGGATTTGGTGTCAATAAGCTCAGCTGGGATCCGTGCTTAAAGGGCAGTTTCTACCGGGGTCAACCAAGCAGAGGCAGGCTCATGAGGAATCCTCTGAGAATATG